TCTCGTTGAAGTTCGAGAGCCCGCGTAGCATGATTTCGTGCGAGATGTCCGGCTTCAGCCCTCCGACGTAACGGTCCACCCGCAACGCTTCGTGCATGTAGCCGACTTGCTCGCATAATGCGAGAAAACCACTCGTGTAGTCTTGAACCGATCCGAGCTGCCGCCAAGTGCGCAATCTCTGACGGGCCGAAATAGAAGCCGCGGTCGGCTCGAAGCGCGCCCGAAGCCCTGCGCACCACGCATCCCACGTGCTGTATTGGGCGGTCTCGCAGAATGAACTCCAGGTGACAGCTGGACCCGTGGGCCCTTCCTCTTGCGACGGTGGCTCGTAGGCGCGTGGCGACGTCACGATGACTCGCCACCAGTCCATGGCGGGGCCCCTTAGCAGCGAAACGGCATACCGAATCTTCGTTGCGTCCGACTCGACGTAATTCGCGTCGAAGAAGACGTTCATCGTGAAGACCCACGATTGAACCGTCGGACCTCCACGCTGGCTTGGGTCGAAGCAGGGCGGGCGTTGCGGCTTGAGTGGCATTGGTGCCATAATGGCCTGTTCACCACTTGTTGCCGCGAACTCCACGTGCCGACGGGCTTCGCGAGGCTCCCGCGGGCTTGGTGCGACCCTGTTTCCTCCCATGCCAGTTCGGCTGGGCGGCGCCATAGCTGGCTGCGCCTGAGCGCTGTCCCACGCTGTTGTTTTGTGTTGGTGTGCCGGACGAGATGACGATCGGCTCGTCCGATTGTGCAGATGCATTTCTCGGTGCGTGTGGTGGCGCTAGAGTGTTCATCGTTGATTGCTGACGCGCGGAGTCACGTTCCGCCATGAGCGACGCAATTTCGAGCGCCGAATCTTCAAGTTGGCGCACCAGACGGTCGAGCTGCTCCTGCGTCAATGTGGCGAGCGTGAATTCGGCCATGGCGGGGGTGTCGGGTGAGCTCAGCGAGAGCCTCGGTCGTGGCCGTGCGTGCTTACGAGAGAGCACTACGAGCGGTGGTGCTGTGTCGCTGAGAGACGTCTACCCCCCCCAAAAATTGAGATAGTGGGGAAGCGAAGGTGTGGGTGCGGTCCGAGAGGAGATCGTAGGCTCTGAATACCAAGTGTTACGAGTGCAACTGAGTGAACGAACGAGAATTGCACTATCGAAGCAAGAGTACAATGAGCGAAGGCATGAGCGAAGAATATATATAATATAGCGAAACTACAGTGGTAACGGTAATGGACTGTGGTTGTCGCGCGACGGGCCTGGGACTGAGGTTGGGAAAAAGTGTCGAAGCGGAGGCCCGGAGCGCGGGTTACCCGCCGAGCCGTGAGGTCGGGGTGCGATGTGCGAAGGTGGCGGGCGGATTGTCGATGCGAGGGTTGCGAATGGTAACGGTGCTGACTGTGGTGCTACAGTGATGTACGCGTTGAGCAGGGATGCGTAGTAAGGAAAAGGAATTTTCCTTACAGTTCATCAAATGTAGGTACTTCCTACAGTATACATTATTAATGGGCTCAGTATGTCTACCGACGTCCTCCACTCTCTCTCACCCCACCCACTCCACATTCTCTCTTATAACGAAGAATCATCACTTGTAGGGTCTCTGGGCCCACGGGCACTTCCTCTAGAGCTACGTCTTGTGGCTTGATGGTCATGTTCACCCAGTCATGATCAAGGCATGTCAGTATTATTTCATGTAGGTGCTCCCTACAGTATAGATTATTAAAGAGCTAGCAGAGTGTTCACCCCTATGACTCGTAATCACCATCTGAAGGGTCCCTGCACTTGGCCCACTGGCACTTCCTCGAGAAGCACGTCTTGGTTGGCTTGATGGTCATGTTCGCTGTAAACAGCTGGCAGCTCAGACCCGAAAATGTGTAGTACAGGCAATTCGCGTCCCCGATACAAGACGACTCGCACTTGTCCAGCTGATTCGTGAAAAAGAGATTTCCATCCATGATGACTAGTTGCTCGTTCTTGTGCGCCTCGCACTTAACTGCAATTCCTCATCACAGACGGGAAAGGCAAGGGAAAGATGGGTTGAGGATGGCAAGCGACACGAAGAAATCTAGCGTGGATTTTCTCGAGACAGCCGGAATGAAATGGAGGAAGCAGCTAATGGGCCTACTTCAACAGAGACGAATTACTTACTTGCCGGAGGGGCAGGAGGTGGAGTCGGGGGCTTCGGTGGCTTCGGGCTCTTAGGCGACTTGGGCTTCTTAGGACTCTTCGGGCTCTTAGTCACATTGGTCTCTGCCGGCTTTGGTGGAGACTTGGGCTTGCTCGGACTCTTGCTCGGGCTCTTATCGGGGCTGTTGCTGGGGCTCTTATTGGGGCTCTTATTGGGGCTCTTATCGGGGCTCTTATCGGGGCTTTTGTTTGGACTCTTAGTCGGGCTCTTGTTAGGGCTCTTATCGGGGCTCTTGTTGGGGCTCTTATCGGAGCTCTTGTTGGGGCTCTTATCGGGGCTCTTGTTGGGGCTTTTCACGGGGCTCTTTTTAGGGCTCTTATTCGGGCTCTTTTTCGTCGATCCTTCCTGGACCTCGGGCGGGTTCTTGGCCTTCGTCTGGCTTTTCGGTTGAGACGTGCCCTTGCTGCTGCCGCTGCCACCACCGCCGCCGCCGGCCGAATTCTTACTGTTTACTTTCGGCGGGCTTTTCGTTTGAGGTGTAGTCTTGCTGCTGCCGCCGCTGGCGCCCGAGTTTTTACTGTTACCGCTGCTACCCTTGACCGGGCTCGGTGTCGGTTTCTTCTTCTTGGGGGGGACCGGGGACGGCGACGGGGTTGCCTGGGCGGCTGTCGTCCTGGTAAGCCGGCGCCTCAGGATGGCAAATTCACGGCCGTGCAGCTGCCAGAGCGCGCCTGATGGGGGATGCGTGGATAAAAATTAGTTGATTGGAATGGATGATTTAGGGGCAAAGGGCGCCTCAGGATGGCGAATTCGCGGCCGAGTAGCTGCCAGAGCGCGCCTGATGGGAGAGGCGTAGAGAGAAATAATCAGTAAGGGAGTAAAGATGAAAGGAAAGGGAAGGGCGCCGGTTCGCGGCAGTGTTGCTGCCAGAGCGCCCCTGAAAGAGGATGAGTGGAGATTAATAACGGATAAAGGATTGGAGAAACGGAAGGGAGCCGTAGGGTTCGCCTGGCTGTGGTGGTCGTTTTCAGCTTGCGCTTCAGGGAGGCGAACTCGCCGCCTTATCGCTGCGAATTCAGCTTGCCCTACGGCCGCGATGAATCCCCTTTTTCGGTTTGTCGGACGTGGCGGCCACGTCTAGTATGTCAGTGACATATCGTCAGAAGAAAGGAAGGCTATGAATGGCGATTCAAGACGTGTGCATACAACAAAGGGAACGCTGCGAATGTCTAGACTCGTAGAGGGCGCACCGTCATCAGAAGAAAACGGCCGGATTGCTGTCTCCTCTAATCGCGCGGCTGGTATCGACGCAAGCAGCAGCAAAGGTACGGCCCACAGAAGCAGATGAAATGACTCAGCAGCCATTGCCACGTGGGCGACTTAAGGGCTTCGTCCAACCAGCTGCGATCTGCACTTCGGCGTATTAGCAAGTGCTTCTAGATATGGCTCCGAGTGCTTATGCTAAAGTGGAAAACGCATGGCTAGCGCTGGGCTGTAGTAGTGGAGAACGCGAGCGTCTTTGTCAGCTGTAGAACTGTGAACAGAGAAGAGCATGTGAATTACGTGTGAAACGTTGTGGGTAAAGATGGCGAACTGAATCGTGGCTCGACTTCCTTCTGTTAATCAAGGAATCTATAGAAACTCGCGATCACTGATCAATGTCTGGAACCACGAACAACTAGGTCTATCGCACATAAATGGCCGCTGGCTGAAAGGACGACTTTGTATGGAATGTGTTGACCATTCGACTTGCTACGCGAGCCGACAAATTTCCATACAGTTTCGTCGAGTCGTGGCTATCAAGTGCGTGTCACGATGCTGAGCAACCGACAACGTCGGCAGCCAGTGACGTCGGCTGCGACACTTGCGGAAGCACAAGCGTGGGTTCGTAAGGCGGGGTGGGCTGTGACGGCGGGTGTGTGGTGAAAAAGTAGAGTGCTCCGAGCTGAGCCAAAGCAGCCCTTTCCTTTCGGAGCTGTGTTTCCCCGAGGAATTCGAGGGGGCTTGAGAGAGATGGGAAGAGGGGAGGGGAAGTGGGATTTCTTGGGTGGGTGGGTTCTTCTGGCGGAGAAATGTTGCAGATTGGGTGCCGACATCTCGAAGCGCGTTTGAGCGAGCCGATGCGCGGAGGATTTTGACGAGGTTGGTTTGAGGGCCGGACGTGCCATGTTAGCTCGATGGGAGAGTCCGGACAGCCGTCGATCTGAACACGGATGTTTGACGTGTGAATGGAATGGAGCCATTTATTTCGCGGGCAAAGGAAATTTCACATTTCAATTTTGAAAGTGCTGAGAGCACTCTTGCTGTACAAATACGAAAACGGTTGCCAATCTCAATACGTATGGTCGAAAAGTATGGATGCAATAAGTAATCTTGTTCATCATGCGAGGAGATCCCCGTATAATCAGTACTGTATTATCATAAATTTGTGGCAATCTCAATACGTATGTAGTAGGTTAGAAATTTATCATGCTTACTTCACTAAATCAACAAGTGCCAGCACTTCTGGCCTCACACAAGTACTGCACCTTACCTAATAAGTGCATTCAAATAGCTTTGTAACGACTCAACTGTACATTCAGCTTGACAGCAACTCAGTGATACACTCTGAGAGGCCTCTGTAGGACGTTGTCCCTCCCCCTCTCTCACTGACAGTCTGCACCATGCTGTCAACAAATGGTCGCAAGCTCAACAGGGTACACCTCAAATCACTTTCATTCCTGCCCTCTCCATTGCTGAAAGTAGGCATTCCCCCTGGCACTGAAAGCGTCCCTTGCTGCTCCTCAGATCGCCTTTTCTTCCCAAAAGTTTGCAAAAACTGCCATATTCTAAGAGGATGCCTCAGCGCCCATGGCCGGAGCACAGAGCAAGGCAATCCGCCGAATCGGTCAGCAGGCAGGGAGAGGAGTGTGGAGACGAGGGGGGCGGACGGGGTTGCATGCAGCAGCAGCATCCCCAGGCCTGCGAGTGCCTCACAACTTGGCCCTTCCCATGTGATGTGTTTGGCTGGAGAGGAAGCAGACTTGCTGCCTGGAGCGCTGCGGTGATGAGCATGACCTTCAGCAGACAGATTGCTCCTGGCAGCAGCAGCAGCATCAGCAGTGGCGGCGGCAGCAGCAGCACTAGCCCGTTGCAGAAGCAATGGAAGAGACACCTCACTCTCTTCTCCTGCAAGCCCTTTTTTGGTGTGAATCCAACCAGCAGCCTCAGCAGCTGCCAACTGCCATAACCACTGCTGCTCCTGCCCGTCCCAGGACCAGCTGTCTCCAATTAACGGCATCCACAGATCCTCCTGCTGTCGCTGCTGCTCTCGCTGCTCTTGCCGCAGCTTCTGCAGCTTCTGTTCCAGCTCTTTATCTATCTCATCCTCTTCCTCCAGCTGCTCCTCTTCCTCCCGCTTCTGCTCTTCCTCCCGCTTTTGCTCTCCCTCTCGCTTCTTCTCTTCCTCCTGCTTCTGCTCTGCCTCTCGCTTTTGCGCTTCCTCCCGCTTCTGCTCTTCCTCTCGCTTCTGCTTCTGGCTTGCTTCCCTCGCCTCCTTATCCTCCTTTTCCTGTATAGATGACCACCTTTTCCTGAACAATGAAATCTCCCCCAAGAGAATCGCAGATTGCAGAGCAGCAATGGCGGGCGGATCAGCAGCAGATAGCAGCAGGTGCAGCAGGGGAGGGTGGCCGGATGTGGCATGGGGCAGCAGGCGCAAGGCCTGGTAAGAGACACGTTGGAAGAGGAGATTTGAGCCGTCCAATAGGATCCACCGCTGCAAGTCCATGTGGACTGCTGATGCCAGCAGATGCTGATGGTTGGGATGAGTGATGTGGAGATGATGATGATGATGACGGTGGTGGTGGTGATGGTGGTGGTGGTGGTGAAGGGAGAGGGGGTGAGGTGCAGCAAGGGTATGCAACACGCCGTTGCACCTTGGTGGCACTTTGTCCTCCCGCTTCTCCTCTTCCTCTCGCTTCTGCTCTTCCTCTGCTTTTTCCTCCGATGCTGCTCCTCTTCCTTCTGCTGCTCCTGGTCCTCCTGAGATGCCTGCTGCACCTGCTGACGAAGCCTGCTTGCCTGCACCAACGCCTCCTTTCTTTCCCTTGCCCACTAATCCACCCTTACGCCCATCCCCCCCATCTCCACCTCCATCTTTCTCCGTACCGCTTCCCTCACCTCTTCCCTCATCTCTCCCTTCATCCCTCCCCTCATCTCTCCCCTCATCCTTCGCATCCTCTTCCTCATTGCTCCCTTCCTCACCTCGCTCCCAGCACAGCATAACCAGGCGCTCATAGAAACCAAAAACCACTTCTGCTGGCACCCCCCTACACCCCCCTCTTTGTTCCCCACCCTCGTCACTCTCCTCTCTGCCCTCCCCTCCAGTCGAGGACCCAGCCCCCTGAGTATCCCTTTTCGAACGGGCATCAACTGAAGACGCAGGCTTAGTAGCAACTTCTGTACCACTAGCTGCCCTGGCTGCTGCTGCAAGTGCATCGGCCGCACTCAGTTGCTCTTTCTCCGCTGCTGCTGCACCCACACACAGCAACCAGGCAGTAACTGGCTGGCCCATGTCATGCCACGATATAAGCAGCTCCTCTACTGGCAGCAAGAAGTTCAAGTCATACCCACCGCATTCACCCTTGTCCTTGTCAGTCGCCTCACCGTCCTGCTCGCCCTCCCCATCTTCTTTTCCTTTTCCACTCCGCTGGCCCTCCTCCCCTCCTGTAGCGTCCATCGCATTCGCCTCTTCTCTCTGCTCCCCCTGGTTCTCCTCCCCATCCTCCCCACCACCACCCGCCCTCCGCTCTCTCCACCACCACTCATTATGCAAAATATACTCGTGCAGAACCATCAACGTTGACGTCCAGTTTGATAACGCGGCGCCTTCTAACGGGTATGGCGTTCCAAGCTTCGCCTTCACACCAGCTGCACCAGCAGATACACCGTTCCCAGATGCACCGTCCTCAGACGCACCACTCCCAGAAGCATCCTTCCCAGTAGCAGCCTCATTCCCAAAAGCATCGTTCCCAGTGACACCGTCCCTAGAAGAACCTTCCAAAGTTCCCACGGTGGCAGGAAGGCAGGGAAGCGGCAGCTGCAGCTCGTTCAACCGACTAGGAGACAGGGAGGCTAAGGACGGGAACAGAGGGGAGCCTACTTTGGCGAGACATTCGGAAACCGTAGTGGAAATCAGCGCCCATTCCTTCCTACCTAATCTACGCTCCCTAAATCGAGGAAACCTAAAAGTGTCTGATTTGACTGCGCGTTCAGCTTCAAAAGCCTTTGGGTCTCTAGCTAAAAACATGGCTGATAGCCTAGCTACCTTTGTAGCTGCGTCTTCTCTGCTATTCAATCCCTCTGGTGATGCTTCAGGAAGGGATTCTGCACCTGATCCTGCTGCTAAGTCTGTCGATACGCCTGCTGCTGCTTTATCTACCGAAGCTGCTACGCGAGCTCTCTTCGACCTAACTCCCTTAACTCCCCGTCGGTTGCTGCTGCTGCTGTCGTTCCTGGCTGCCTCACCTGCCCCGTCGGCTGCTGCTTCTGCTGCTGTCGCCGTTGCTTCCTCCCCTTTCCTGCCATCCTCGCAAGCATCGCTCGCCGTCTCCCCCTCTGTAGTGCCTCTTTCTGTAGTCACATCCGAGTCGACGCTCCTGTCAGATCGTTCCTCATCCAGCCGCGCGTCTTCCTCATCCCGTTGTTCCTCTTTCACCACAGGTCGCCCCTCCCTCGCCCTCCCTGCAGTTCCCCCCGTTCCCCCTTTGCCCTCTTTTTCCATCTCCTGCCCGCCCTCCAGTTCCCCGTACTCATTCCCTTGCGCCTTCCCCTCAGCTTGCCCCTGCGGCTTCCGCCCGCCAGCTTCACTGACTGGATACTCGCCTCTTAAAGCCACCAGGAACGCCTTGAATCCGCCAATGACCTTCGCCCCGTCCCCTGCCTCCGCAGCTTCTTCCATACCCTTTACCATTCCCTCTATAGCCCTCATCTCCTCGTCCATGCCCTCTCTCTCCTCGCTATGCTCTCTTTTCCCTTCCTCCTCCACCACCTCCCCTCCCTCCACCTCCCCAGCCTCCACATCCCCTCCCTCCTCCGCTTCCTCCTCCCCTTCCTCCTTCTCCTCCCTCTTCCTCTTCCGCTCCCTTTTACCACTCCCTCCCTCCGCCGCCTCGCTCTCCCCTCCGGCGCGCTCCCCTAGTTCCATCTCTGCGCCCTCCGGAGACTTGCTACGTTTCCCCGCTCCGCCAGGGCCTTTTCCACCAGCCTGGTCTTCCCCTGCAGCGCTAGCCTCCCCCATTTCCGCATCTTCCGCCGCCCTCGCGCCAGTGATGGACCCACTTGCGTCAACCGCGCCCTTCCCGGCAACGGCTGCAGCAGCAGAACCACCCACAGGATGGCTTCCGCTAACGCCTGCGCCCACTTCCCCCACTTCCCCCAACTCCGCCACCTGCCCTTCCTTGCCTCGCTGTTCCTCCGCCGCCCTTATCCCCGCTCCGCTGCCAACAATATTCCCCATTCCGTCCCTCTCCGCTGCCAAATGCGGGGGGGAAGGGCTTGGGGACTTCACCAAAGCCCCGCTCCCCCGCGCTTGGCCCCCTCTCCCCACTGCCCCTCCCCCTCCCCCAGGTATTCCCGCCGCCGCAGCTCTTTCCGCATGGTGCGGGTCATGCAGGGGTGAGGGGGGTAAGTACCGATGGGGAGACGCGTCGAGCCGACAATACGCAGGAAAAAGCGCCTGAAGCCGCTCACGAAGCTTCGTCGGAATGAAGCCGCTTGTGGCTAGCGGCTCGAGACTAGGCACGACTCCCTTGCCGACCAAAATGTCGATCGAGGCGGAAATTCCGCGGAGAATCACGTCTCTATGCGCCGCGTCGTAGTTATCTAGGAGAAGGAAGAGGAATTCCAGGAGGGAGTTGGTCATAATGGCGTATTTGGGAAGGGAATGGACCATGCACAGCATCGCGGGTTCGATGTTCATGATGTTGTCTGTCTTGGGCATGAAGAAGAGCCAATCGTAGAAGAGCGCCAGCTTGGCATTTGCCTCCATGTGGCAGCTTCTGCAGCATTTGAGCAGCCAACCGACAATCGCCCAGCGTGGCACCACGTCGGATTGCAGCACCTGATTGGTCGGATGCACCGAGCAGCAGACGAAACGAATCAAATCCGCCACGAGGGACTCGCTCTCCGGGGCGGCGAGAAACCGGGTGGCAAACCACGTCTGGTAGCGCCGCTGGTGGCCCATGCGCACGTGTGCGAGGAGAAAGCGAAGCTGCGACTCCATTTCGGGCGTAACTCGCGACGTGATGAAACGCGTCGGCGTCCGCACGACGTACAGCTGAGCTAAATCGGAAAACCCCGGCGCGCCCATAGTCTCCGGTCTATGCACCAAGTCCCTCCAAATCGGCTCGAATTCCGGAATCAACGCTACATCCTGCAGCAGACGCACTAAGTCGCGACCAATTACCAGGCAGTCCTGAAACCGCTCCCTAATCAGCTGCGTGCAAAACGCGACCTCCTGCTGCTTCAGCTCTACTACGGTTGGCGCCTTACTAACCGCATGGTCTGGTAGAAGCCTAAGGAACGTGTATAACGAGAGGGCGAGAAGATTCGGGAGAGTGTAAAGCCACTGCGCGTTGGTACGGAGGACGTCGAGTAATTGCCGAGCTAACCACACATTTCCCACGCTGAGATCGCCGCCGGAGACCTGACGGAAGAGGCAGAGAAAGAGCGTTTCTGCTTCCTGAACGGCTAGCTGAACCAACTGCCGGAGGATCCAAATGACCTGCGCGCGCACGTGGTCCTGGAGCTTGCTCCACTTGTCGCTCGCTAATCGCTGAAGCGTCGCTAGAAGCGACGCGTGATGATCGCGCGTCACGGAGCACAGGATTCCGAACAGTCGCACCGCCGCTGCCGGAGCCGCGTGCGACGTCGGCGAGGGCGGCGGACCGGCTTTGTGCGACGCGATGAGGATGGCGTAGAGGAGACCGTTGACCACGTCGGCATGTTGTTGCGCACCTTCCGATACCATTTCCTGCAACTGGCTGTGCACGTCGCCTTCGCTGTCAGACGCGAGAAGCGGCTTGAGACGCGCGTGGAGAGATTGAAGGGCCAGGTCCAGCTCATCTGTCGCCTCGAAGGCCACGTGGCTCAGCAGCCGCGAATCAGCGCGTGGCACGTGGACATGAACGTGCGCATGGGAATCTCCGCGCGATCCGCCGACCGAGCCGCGGGGCTCAATGGCGACTGGTGCTCCGATCGGCATAGCGGCAGGGGCTATATTCCAAGAATTAGGGTTTGGATGTCAAATCAGTAAGTCAGTTGAGCGGTCCGTTCATCCTAGCTGCCATCCAAGTTTCAAATATTCGCACGTGAGTGCTCTTGGTCGATGCGCAAACCCTAATCTGGGTCCGAAGCGCGGGAATTGGTTTTGGTCAAGCAAGGGGGCTTGAACATTGCTGGAAATTGCTCCAGCGGCTAAGTATGGAAGAAGAGGGCCTGGGTTGGCAGGAATTGAGTGAGGGAAGAGCCCCTGAGGAGAGGAGTGCTGCTGGGGCCAAGCCATCCGGAAAGAAGCTGATTCTGAAATGAAGAATGTGTTGAATGAAAATGAGGGAAAACCGCCTGGTATTTATAGCTGGGCTGGCTGAGCTGAGGGGCTTGAGACGCGGTTCCAGCCAAGCCTGCGTTACACGCACGGGATTCCCAGGCCAACTGGTAGATAGCTTCGGTGAAAGGTAGTTTTTAAATGGGAAATGAAGAAGCTAGGAACGGTTCCCTCATCACATCTTGCAGAGAAAATTCTTGAGTTATGTGACTGACTCTTCATGATTTTTGGCAGGGTGTCAGATGTCGAAATGCGCTCTTCCAGCCAGATTCGTCAGCAAATTTTCTTGCGAAATGCACGGATGGATGGCATGCCAGGTCGGCTCGCGGGTCACAAGCTGGCCTTCATCCATTCAGCTTCATTCCCGCCGCCAGGGTCCAAGTCCATCCAATCTGTTTTCGCCAAGGGCGATCGCGCTTCTGGTGTGGTCAATCTTGGGATTTGTGCTTGGCCGAGTTTTTTACGTAATGTGAGAGATCGAAAGCGAACAGTGAAGGTATCCTTCTTCTTAACGAAGCATCGCATAGCAGCAACATTCAGCGGTTTTGACGAAAGGAATCATGACAAGGCATCTGCCTCCCCTTCGTTAGTTTTCAGTGTGACCTGCGCGCGAAACTACCCTCACAAATGACGAGCTTGTCTCGTTCACTTCCAACTTCCATTCCAGTCCATTGTCCCCACCTGGATCCTATCAATCTTGAAAACCCAGAATTACGGCAGGGAAAAAGGGATAACACGAATCTTAATACACTACGAAAATATCTTCGCTGAACGCGGAGATGCCCCCCTATGCTGGGAAACGCCCTGGGCGCGGAGTTTCCCCTTCCCCCGATTGGAGAAGCGACGGAGATCCCCAGGACCCGTTTGCAACTGCAACCCAGCCTGTCACAGCAAGCAACACGACCCCATCAGACCGTTCTGGGTATCGTTGACTCTTTCTGTGAACGTATGTAACCTATAACAACCGAAGCAAAATGAAACTTACACACACCCGTCTAGGATTCCCAGATTCCAACTTGCAGGCATCCAGTTTTGTGTAGAGGTGAAAGGATTTCAAGTGAACCATTTATGGCTGTTTCAAAGTCATTCAAGTCCCCACATTTCCTCTTTACTCCGCAAATTTCGGAACTCGGAGAGCTACTAAGTACGAGAAAGTAGGTCTCTCTTCAGCGAAAGTGAACTATTGGGTTTGGAGTAAGAACGAGGATAGGTTATGTCGAGCTACGAGACAGCCTCTTTCACGTAGGCGCACTGCGAATGAGCAGTTTCCGACATATATTTGCAGCCTGCGACAAACATTATCATGGCTACATGTCTCGTAGAAGCTAGGTTCTTGCTTCCGCTTTAATTTATGTCAGGCAATGCCAAGTCATACGGGTAGTATCTCAGTTTTCTCAACTAGTCCGAGTATTGCAGAAGGCATCAGTAGACAGGCCAACCATTTGTCCAGAATCTATTTTAGGTCCGTCCGATTTCAAGGGACTTGACGTATACTTGACTACGCTCGCAAGCAGCTAACAGAGAGTCAAAACCGGTGCTTCGCTTGACGGCGCTTCGTTCTTCGGTGCTTCGTTCGACGGTCCTTCATTGGTCTGCTTCCAGAGGCCAGCCTCGATTCACCGACGACCATCATGTCACTCGACGGTGATGTAAGCGCATTACTTCCCAAGAAAATGTTCGATGGCATCGGTGTCGTCAGTGAGACGAGTCTATTCCACACGTAGTACCAGGTGAAATTTGAGTCGACTCAAAAATCGCCTGCTTTCAGATGACGTTCTTGGTTCAACTAGAGTTGAGCGACGCAAAAAATGCCGTTCTTGGTTCAACGACGACCATCATGTCGTCGCTCGACGTTGATGTAAGCGCGGAATCGTCGATAAAATGTATCATTGCGTGATTCCTGGGATGGTGCTTTTTGCGCCTGGAGGGCGGCCCTGTTCAACGAAGACCATCATGTCGTCGCGCGACGTTGATGTACGCCCAAAGTCTTCAATAGGAGTTCTCTTCAGGCAACGCCGCTCCTTCTGGAGCGGGCGTTGCCATGAGTGACGGCGACATTGATGTGCGCCCAATATCTCCAATGAAATGGTCATATATCAGTCTTCATTGCATTCATGCTACGTACGACCTTTTAGGCACATGTTGTGTGCTTTCCCGTCCTTAAATGCGCGTTCATTCGTCAATATCAGAAACACTCAGATTTCAGTGCGCGCTCAATAGGTGATATCGCATCTCACATGACGTCGAGGTGACGTTCCGTGTCCCGTCACTCCCTCCGTGTCCTCGTGTAGCTTGTTATGCTCGCGTTCGAGCATAACCTCAGCTCTGCTCAACTAGACACAGCTCAGTTCCGCTCAGCGCAACTGGCGCCACGTAGCTCACCTCAGCGCACCAATGCAGCGCATCTCCGCACAGCTCCTCTCAGCGCAGCGCAGCTGAGCTCGGCGCAGCTCCGCTCAACGCAAGTGGCGCAACTTGGCTCACCTGAGTGCAGCGCAGGGCAGCGTATCCCAGCTCAGCCAACTCAGCGCAGCGCATTCGGCTCAGCCAACTCAGCTCGCCACCGCGCACTCCTGCGCTGCGCCTCTGAGCCTCAAACAAGCAGATGTTGCATTTTCCAGCGGTACCAGGAAGATTATCTGATTCTCTTTTATGTGCTTCTGTCTCAGCCCAAGTACGGAAGAGGAGCAGGGTCAGCGGCAGCAGGGGAGAGCTTTGAGCTGACATTGAACAGGCCCTGAGGTTCCTCACCTGCTTCTCTTCTTTCTTTTTCTCTTTCTTCTGCTTCTCTCTTCAGCCCAAGTACGGAGGAGGAGCAAGCTCAGCGTTAGCAGGGGAGCCGTCCGAATGGAAGGAAAAACACACGGATTACTACGCCAGCAAACCTCCAGCGGACAAGTACCCAGATATCTACTCCAACGAGCCTCCTGCCGACGACCAAGGTACCGCCACTGCTCTGCCCCCACCCCCCGATTGAGGTGAGGCGAGTAGTTAACCTCGCGTTTGTGAGCCTCCAGCAGTCAAGTACCCGGATATCTACGCCAACGAGCCTCCTGCCGACGCCCAAGGTACCACCGCTGCTCTTCTGTCCCTCTTCCTAGTTCACTCAACAGAGGTCCCTTGGAAAGAGGAAGTTCACGCGGATTACTATATTCCAGCAAGCCTCCAGCGGACAGTTACCCGGGTATATACTCAAATGAGTCTCCTGCAAACGATCAAGGTACCACCACTGCTCGGTTTCCCCCCTCCTGCCATCATCCACTTCCTATTCGAGCTGACTCAAAATAGGTGACTTTTGGGTTGATTCAATAGTCATTTGAGGCACCTCAGAAAGAGCCCTCTGCTGAGTAACCACTACCGTTATGCCCCTCCTCCTGCCATCATCCAATTCTTCTCCCGTCTTCTTGTTCTCCTCTCCTCAACACCCATCCACTTCCTTCTCCTGTCATGTTTTCCGAGTCACAGTGTGCCCATGCTATTTATGCTTTACAGGTTAATTTTCTCAGTCTTGCCTTGCGTGCTCCAATCTGTCTTGTTGTCGTTTTCTTGCAGGGGATCTGGGTGCGAGTGCCATCTCGCTAGAGGGCACGGTGCAAGTGGTGAAGGAGAACATGTGGTACATAGGCGATGGTGAGACACCCTCATCCTCTTCAATCTCTTTGCACTCTCAGTCAATC